TGTTGTGCTTCGTTCAGTTCAGTTACATTGACAGTGCATGAAACAAAGCATCAGAGGTTTCCAAGTCAGTTCCCTTAGGTTAGCGTCCAGCTCTTGATTTAACTTTGGCTGGTGGAATCGGGAAACCCCATGTCCGGGTCCCGCACTCACAGTACAGAGCCTGCTTGGGATTCTCTCTGTCACCAAGCTCTCTCCCTGCCCCTCCCAACGCTCATGCTCTCTCTTGCTCTCTCTCAAAATAAATAATCATTGAAAAAAAAAAAAAGTTACTGACCACATAGATGGACTCAGTTTCCCTTCTTCATATTACCTAAAGAATGACAAAAGGCCTTCTAGATTCTTCCCCCACTCCCAACCCCTACCACTGCCACCATCCCTTTGGTAAAATAAAAAATGAAATCCTCACAGGGCACCTAGGTACGCTCAAGTGGGTTGGCGTCGGGACTCCCTGGTTTGCTCCAGGTCATGATCTCATTGAGTTCGAGCCCAGCACGTCGGGCTCTGTGCTGACAGCACCGGGCCTGGAGCCTGCTTCATTCTGTGTCTCCCTCTCTCCTGCCCCTCCCCTGTTCATGCTCTGTCTCTCTCTGTCTCAAAATAAATAAATGTTAAAAATAAAATAAAAAAAAAAGTTTCAATTAAAAAAAAAATATATATATATATAAAACAGGCAGCAGGAACAAAAAAAATCCTCAAGGGGTCCCTAGGCCAGCCGGGTCGACCTGGTGTCAAGTGGCGGCAGATGGTCTTCTTCACGTGCCCTTGTGTTGGCTCCCTGTGGCCCTAGGTAATGCTGTGTACTTTCGCCCTTGAGGCTTACCAGCTGATCACCCACGGAGAGAAACCAGCCAGATGCTGGCGTAGCTGAAGGCCAAGAGGCTTATCTTCTAACCCGCAGGAGGACTAGGGCAGGCTAAAGCCACAGCTCTCCAGCGTGCTGGGTAGAGAGAAGGAGAAAAGATTACCCAGCGTGTGCTCCAGTTAGGAGAGGGTGGAGAAGACAGGGCGATGCCACGCGGGTACGTGTGGCACCAAGGCGGCTATCCTCCGAGGAGCTCCAGGGGCTGAAACCCGCGTCGTGGCAGCCGAGGCACTGAAGTCCCCTGCCCCTTCTGAACTGGCTGGGCCCCAGAGAACCTCACGTGCACCTGGGCCCAGCAATATGCCAGTCAGTGCCCATGCTCCGGGCCTCCAGAGTTGGAGGACAGAGGGGTCACTGGCTGCCATTTTCACATCTCTTTTACCTCTGGCATTCCTCCAGGTGTGTAGATTCTGCTAACACTGGCCCTGGCCAGTCTTCTTGTGAGCAGAGTGAAGCGGCGTTCAGTTCCTTGAGCCTCTAAGCCATCTGGCGAAGCTGTCTCTCCTGGCGTGGCTCCCAGAGCCTTAAAGGCATGCCGTGCCACCGTGGACCCCTTGCATCAGCAGAGGCATCCCTGATCCTCCTTCCCTCCATTTGAGGTGTGAGTCCACTTACTTGTTCTCCAGGTGTCCCTGTGGTTGCCTCAGAGAATCGCTGCTGCTGGAATCCTCTGACCCCTAATAGCCAGGTGCTCCCCCCAGCACCATTCACCACACCACCCAACGCGGTAACGCATTGATACCTCCCGTCTTGCACAACTAGCCTCCCAGGTGCTGGATGGGGACGGGGTTTCTCAGGCAAATCTGGCATCACGACCCCACCAGTCAGTCTCACCAACCTGGGAGTGAGTGACAAACATATGAGCGAGGCTTACAAGAAGAGGCCAAGTCTCGAACTCACGGACCGCGAGATCATGACCTGAGCCAAAACCAGGAGTCCGGACGCTCAACCGACTGAGCCACCTAGGTGCCCCCAGGATTTCATTTTTTATTTTACCTCTTGGGAAAGGATGGTGGCAGTGGGTAGGGCTGGGGAGGGGAGTGGGGAAGAATCTAGGCGCTCCTTGTCATCTACTTTAGGTAATATGAAGAAGGGAAACTGAGTCCATCTATGTGGTCAGTAACTTCTTTTTTTTCTTAATGATTATTTATTTTGAGAGAGAGCAAGAGAGAGCATGAGCAAGCTGGGGAGGGGCAGGGAGAGAGCGAGACAGAGAGAATCCCAAGCAGGCTCTGTACTGTGAGTGCGGGACCCGACATGGGGCTCGATTCCACCAGCCAAAGCTGAAATCAAGAGCTGGACGCTTAACCTACGGAGCCACCCAGGGTGCCCTGCCAGTCATTTATTCCTAAGAGCCCTGCAGGCCTCGAGGTCTAATGGGCCAGTGCTCGTGCGCCCAGATGTCTTCCTCTCTGTAGCTATGCCCCAGGGACAGGAGACAAAGACAGGTGGACCCGTGTTACAATGCAAGTGGCATTTTCCCCCTTGCTGACACGGCGCGCTCCCAGGATCCCCTCCAAAACACTCATGCAGCTTGGCGGCCCCCATACCTTCGTCACTGTTGTCGTCCACCAGGATGATTTCCTTCAGCAGGTGCGTCGGCGTGTGGTTGACCGCGCTGTGGACTGACCGCAGGATCACTGACAGGGCCTCGTTCACGAAGATGAATATGATGGAGATCTGGGGCAGCTCCTTGGAGTACTTCAGCTCCTTGCACCTGGGGGAAGAGAGCCAGCCGAGTAGAGTCAGAGGAAGGCGGAAGGCATGGGCGCTGCGGATGGACACGGCCCACGTGCGCCCAAGGTGTGCGTCACCAGTTCCCTCCGGGCCCCCCTTGGCTGAGAACAAAGACTGGAACCTAAGGAGGAGATCGTGAAGGGGTCCAACCCCAATTCTCCTCAACCTGCCGCCCCAAAGGAACCAGAAGCAGCAGTCTCGGGTACGTATCCCGCGTCTCCCAGGCGGCCTGGGTGCCCGTTCACACCGCCTGGTCCCACTTTACTGCCCACCTGCCCCACTCCCTACTCGGGCACCTGCGTTTCCATGCCTGGAGCCTACTTTGCTGCCGCCCCACCCCCATCTGCTCCCATCCAGAGGCGGCCAGGAGTTGAGGCATGAATACCCCAGCTCGCTCACCCCAGGAGCAGGCTGACTCCAAGGGCAGCGGTTTACAAGGGCTCCCAGGGTCCCCCTAGTGAAACGAGGGAGGGTTCCCCCTCCATCACCCACAGTGGCCATCTGCATACCACACCCTAAGGGGGAGGCCTTCCCTTCCAGGTCCTACTTCCCCACGCCCCTGGTGGTGTTTGCTCTCTCCACCTTCCGAATCAATGGTGCACTCAAATCTTAGTCTTAGGGTCTGCTTCTGGGGGAACCCAAACCAAGCAGCCCGCTCGGGTGGAGCCTGCATTCTAGAATCAGACACGAAAGGCGCATGTAAATAATCGTATTCAAGGAAGCGGGTCCTCGGCCTGCATAGGAGCATGCTGCCGGGTACACCCCATCTCTTCTGGCACGCGTTCCTAGAATCTCCTGGGCGGGGGGGGGGGGGGGGGGCAGGAGACGGGACCGCCTGCCTTTGAGGTCCTCCCTCCTAAGACCCAGCAGCTCCCCCATCCCTGAAAACCGGAATAAAAGAGAAGAGTCCTTTTCACCCAGGCTGGACACAGGGGTGTCGAGCTCTGGCCTCCCTGGAGCTCCCGGTGATGCAAGCTTGATATCCAGAGAACATGCCGTGCGTGGCTCAGTCGTGGGAACACCGCGCTCCGTCCAGGGGAGCACTCACAAATCTGGTCCTCTGCTTAGGCTGAGCCGCATTGGAAATACCAAGCGGAAACCAAACAGCATGGGAGAGGGCGCTAAGGCATTTCAATACATTCTCCTCCTCCTCGTGTGAGATCGGACAATATATAGCACAGGTGTTAGAGGAGAAAACAAAGGCAACGAGCTGAAGGAATGGAGTGAGGGGGAAGAGCACTGAAGAAAGAGCAAGAAAAACGGCTGTTTTTTATGCGGAACAGCTTGGGCTGTGTCGGGCCGTATTAATCAGGCAGGCAATTTTCGGAAGAAAATAAAGTTTTGTTACAAGATACATTTGTGTCTCCTGGAGGAGGACGTCCAGGGATCCATTGATCATGCAGCCTCATTTTTACCACGTCGCTGTAAATTCACTTCTGGGGCTGCCAGGGAGATTAGAATGGTTATTGACGGGCTCCCGGGCAGTCGGCGGGAATCATCTCATTTGCTGCACGGGGATCCGAGGGAGGAGGGCACCCCAGAAGGTCCCTCCGAGCCCCCTCGACCAACCTGGGCAGCTTACTCACCAGCCCGTCCCTGTGAGCACACAGTCCGGACGCACCCACCTATTCCCAGCGCTCAGCCCCAGGGCTTAAGTGTCTTTGGTCCTTGGTTTTTAACAGCTTCTGGCGCTTGGAACGCAGAAGCAGAAAGACCAGACTGCAGTGTCCCAGCACCTTCTTCTCCACCCACAGGCAACGGGGTCATGATGCAATCAGGACTGAGTTCTGAGTCAAGCCTCTCGGCTAGAGCAGGCAACTCCCGCCCCCAGGGTAAAGTGGGAAATGGGGGAGCCTCAAAGCCCCCACCCTGCCCCTTCATGGGCCAAGGTGGCCATTTGGTAAATCATGGTGGATGGGGGGGGGTGGGGACAGGGATTTCAAAAATGAGAAAGCGCTCCGTCACACACGGGGTACACTGTTCATAGGTCTTCACCTCTAAAACTGTCAAAATAATCCGCACCACACCTAGCTGTGGTGCTTGCCTGAGACCTCACAAGGGTCATCTGAGAGCCCCGTGACAATGCAATGTACCAACTAATGGAAGGACCCAGTCTGCCCGGCTGCCCCCCCCACCCCCCCTTTCGGCTCCTCCGTTCCCTTCTGTATGCTCCCCAA